AAAGATGTTCGATAAAACTAAAAGATGAGGAAGCGGAAATAGAAGTGACCGAAAGTCGGCTGAAAGAAGAGGCCCTGGGAATTAACACTTTAATATAGCGGAAATAGTGGCACATTAGTGAACTCTGGTTCGGAAAGCACCGTGCAAGGTGCACGGATTTGGCTACCCTACAGTTACATCGAGGGATTTCTATTTCTTTGGTATGCAGAAGGACAAAGGAACACTGCATCCCTACGACTCGGCTAAAATTTTTAGTAACCGTTTACAAGAAAAGTGTTAAGTCATGACTGCGTTGTTCACGATTTGAACAGCATGGTGTATCGTGAAAACAACTCTAGATCTGATCACGGTTTTGTTGGGAGTATCACAGTACATGAACGTGCCGGCACTTGTTTACAAACCCAGGTAGAACTACAACCCAATGAACGTAAACAGCTACATTTGAATCATGTGGTGTTACAACGAAGGAGGTAAAAACCTAAACGGTCCTGAACATCGAGCTCAAGAAAGAGACAAAATCTCCATCAAATTAATACAAGAAAGATAAGAACGTCTCTTGACATACGTATAATTTTCTCCAAGTCAAAAGCTAAACTAGTCAAACAGTTTCTCCTATCTCTCTCCGTGATATGAAACAACATACCGTATCTAACTGTACTTGCAACAGTTCTAATCATTAAAACGAACAGCCGGGCCCGGAGTGCAAGTAAGCAGCACGTTCGCTGATTATTTCAAACTCTCTCCCCCCAGAGCTACTATTAAGATAGAAATGAGCCGAGACAAAGTATAAGCACATGACCAATTACAGATGTCTCGCTCTAATTTGCACCCGAGCAAAATGCTTTAAAAGCTCTTCGTACAGACCCAGAGGGAAATGGTTATAAAGCTCGGCAAACATCAAAGTGGCAAACAAAGATGCCAAGATTTATGTTGGAAGGTCCACGACCGTGCACAATCTCTTGTTTTGCGTGCATACACTATGCGTTAATTACGCAACCAAAACGTTTCTATTGGTTAGCTCCTCAGTACGGAGTGCAACTATTGTG